GCCTTGGAGTCGTGGCGCGCCGTGATGAGCTTTTTAGAACCTTGTATGTAACACATTTAGATTAAGTCATTAAGGATACGTTGTTCATCTTAATCATTTATCTGTTTTTCATCAATATCATCGTTATTCATTCATCTGGATCGTTCATCTGTTTTTCATCAACATCATATCTTCTTCATTAACATCATCTGTTCTTCATCAACATCATCCGTTCTTCATAAAAAAAAACATCAATGTCACATGCTCATCATAAAAAAACATCGACACTTTATAAAAACGTCAATTCTTCATCAAAAATCTTCGTTATTTCATCAAAATGTTGTGATTCATTATCAAAAATATTTATTCGTACTATTAAGTGTAAGTCGTGATTTAATCTTGTCTAATTTCGTTGATGTCAAGCAAAATCGTTAAACATAATCTATATTTATTAATGTCACATCATTTAGCGATCATCAGTCATCGAAACTTCATCAATCAAACCTTCAGCAACATCAAACAATAGATAGCAATCGAAAGTGCATCAACATAACCATATATTTGAAGAATTTTTAAAAAATCGTTTTTCAGACTTGAAAAACTTCGTTTATTATACATTTTTTCAAAAATTTTGATCTAAACCTACTGCTTATTGATCGATGATGTTGATCTAATGACGCTGAAAGTATAATTAATCGTAGATGTTGAAGATTTGCTTGTATCAAACAGAATTGAAGGTTGGATTAAAAGAACCAAAACGAATTTTTGTTGTGCATTGTTGAATGGTGTTGATAAACGTGTTATTGACGAAGATCAATGATTGATTAACACTGGATGATGTTGATCGAAGATTTAGCTGAAGAAATATGGATGATCGTTGAAGGTTGGAGAAGAAACTTGAATGACAAACGATCGATTAGTAATGAATTTGAACGGCTATTTAATTATCCACAGTAACACCCTGATTCTTCAGGTATTGATTTCGTGAGAATTGTATTGATTTCAAGGCCTACTCGACGAGTTGGCTGCCCTACTCTTCGAGTAGCAGCGGTTGGTCCGCGTCTTTTAGTAACCTACTCGCCGAGTCCAAGAAGAGACTCGACGAGTAGGAGCTGGAGGATGAAACCTTAATTTCCGGGGTTTTACACCCTATTTAAGACCACTTATCCCCCCTTAGCATCTCTTACTGCTCCCCTCGAATTCAGAAACCCTAATTGTGTTTGTTCTCTATATTGGTGTGCTTCTTAGCTTGAAGGAGGAATTGTGGTGATGGAGTTTGAAGATCAATAAGGTTTTGAGCAAGGAACAGTTGAGGATCTGAAGTCTACCTCAGTTTATCACCATTCGGAGGTATCAAGTCGTCACCTTGAGCTTCTTCTAGTTAGACCCCTTCTATATTTGAGTTTTGGGTCCATCTAGGGCATTTGGTGTTGCATTCCGAGTGAAAAACCAAGATCTGAAGTTGCAACTTCAGATCTAGGCTCATCTTGGCTCTTATCTCCATAAAGTCTCAGTCCTTAGCATGTTGGTGAAGCTCTTTTGCCTAGAATCTCTTCTTTAGCTTGTTTTAGGTCATTATCACAGTGTATGCACGTAAAGTTTGCAACTTTGCGTGATAAACATGCCCTAGGAGCTTGGATCTACAATATGGAACCTCAGTATGGCTTAAAAAGCCTCTGTATGGATGAAGGACTGATTAGACTCATCGAGTCAGATGAATGACTCGGCGAGTCCGATGAAGATAGTCGTAGACTCGGCGAGTCGGATGAACGACTCGGCGAGTCAAATGAAGATTTTCCTTAGGCTCGACAAGTTAGTTGAATGACTCGGTGAGTCGGCTGGGGTTTTCCCAACCTTTGGACACGTATGAACGCGGCGAGTTGTAAGGGGAAAAACTCATCGAGTTGGCCGAGGAGTTGGGACTACTGACACTAGGAACTCAACGAGTCACTCAAGTGACTCGGTAAGTTGGTGAGATGCAAGGAACTCGGCGAGTGACTGGTTGTACTCGATGAGTTGAGGTCAACATGGACTGTTAACTTTGATAGTTGACTTGGACGTTGACCAAGGGTTGACTTTTGGACTTCTTAGACATTTTGGAAAATTGGAAATTTACCAGCATGGTTCTATGGTGCATTTAGGTGGTGGAATTGTACCGACAATCTAAGAGCTTAAGTTTATCTTCAAGTCAACAGTGCGAGATGAGTTATCCTCACTATATCAACAGGGTCTAAGGCACCAATGTCGGCCCTTATCGGATTTACATCCGGGTTTATTGCATGATATGTTTATTGATTTACATCCTGGTCGTTAGGATGGTTGCTATGTTAGAAATCGGTTAGATCAGTATCCTGGTTAAAGGATGGTTGTTATGTTAGTGATCGGTTAGATCGGTCCCTGGGTATAGGATGGTTGCCATGATTAATGATCTGTTAGATTTGCATGCTTAATTGTTTATATTATATACACATGTTTATTGGTTTGGGGGAAAGGGTTGAGGCAGGTCTTGATGTGTGCAGTAGGCCAAGACACCCTGGGCGGACCGGGTAGACTGCAGGCTCGGGTCAAACAAATCTAGTAAGGTCGAAGGCCCAACGAGCGGCCCGGATAAGCTGAAGGCCCCGAGTAGAGCGGTCCAGACGTGCCGAGGGCTCAGAGAGCGGTCCAGATAGACTGAGGACCGAGATTCGGTCCAGTCAGACTGATGGCTCATTATGCATGTTGTTCTGTATCTGTTTGCTTATATGTTATATGATATGGTTATAACGGTTTGATGATTGGTATTTTGGGGGAATTCACTAAGCTTTCGGGCTTACAGTTTCAATTTATTGTTTCAGGTATATCGGGGGATCGCGATAAGACAAAGGCGTGATCGTACAACTCCTCATCTTTTGTTATGGTTTTTGGGAAAAACTGTGATATAGATTATTCAGGAAACAAAGTTGTAATAACTGTTGATTTAATGTGTTTTTGAAAAGTTTAAATTTGGGTTAAATTTTATGGGTGTTACATACGTCTTTATGATTGAAGGATATTATATCATATTTACAAGTTTGTCACTGTGTATTTTATGTTCAGATGTTAATTAAATGATTGGTTGAGAATGATTTTCCCATTCTCAACCTTTTTTTTTCAATTTAACCATCATCTCTCTCTCTCTCTCTCTCTCTCTATATATATATATATATATATATATATATATATATATATATATGACTTAGGGAATATATGACTATTATGTACCTAAGATTATATATAAAACTCTCCAAACTATGTCGTTTTGATCCATATATATCCAAGTTAATCATGATATCTCGTTTACTTTTCTTCCTTAATCACGTAACTTACTAAAAGGATCGAATTTATGTTCTTTTTCTTCATCGTGTCTAAGAATTTAAAGCATTAAAAGTCAATGACCATTTAATCAACCCTATTAAATATAAAGTAAAAACTAATAAAATAAAAGATATAAGAAAAAAATGCCATAACTTAATCAAGTTTCTCATAAAATCATTGGACATAGTTTCTGAATTGAAGGACAAAATTGAGTTATATTCGTTAAAAAATATTGATTTTTTACTCACACTATAAACTTTAATAATTCTTTGTAATAAAAAGATATAAAATTGATTTTTTTCATTCTATAATTTAACTTAATTCAATGGTATTCTATTAAAACAAAATTTAGAGACAATGAAATTGGATTTGTTTTGCTTAAAATTATGTCGTTTAATAGGGTTTATACCGAAGCTTAGGTACACACCAACCACATATCCACTTTTCCCCCTCTCTCTCTCTCTCTCTCTCTATATATATATATATATATATATATATATATATATATATATATATATATATATATATATATAATGTATTTTGTGTCATTCACGGTTTGATAAAATGATGGAAATATATAGTTTTTTCTGTATTTTATTCTAAATTAGCTGTGAAACTCATGTATTACATGAGTTAATTTAAAAAAAAAAAAAAGTTAAATATAAAGGTTAAAATATTTGAGAATTTTGAATTTATAAGAAAATAAGAAAAATAATGATTTATTATAATGAAAATGTTTTTTTATCATTTAAATTTAAACAAATAATTTAAATAAAGAAAAGAAACTAATAAGGTTTAATTTTGAGAATTTTAAAATTAAAAAGTAAGTTTATTAGTGAAATTAATATCCATTTATTACTACATTTATTGCAATTATTATATTAAAATATTATGTGAAATTTAACAAAATAGAAAATTCATAAAATGACATTTGGAAAAAAAAAATAATTCAAAATAACTACAAAATGACATTTGTCCAATGTTTTAAAAACCGGTTTGAACCGGTTGGACCGGAAACAGGGAAGGGAGTGGTTCAACTATCACATGTTTTATATTTATTTCTGAATCGGATCGAACCGGCTGGTTTCTACTAAAATTCAGTTTTACTGGTTTAATTAAATCTGTTGAATCGATTAAATTGAATAAAATATTGAAACCTTTTGCATAATGTACTTTGATAGTTTTTTTTCACATTTATTAAGATTTTTCTGAATAAAAGCACATGATAAATATTATGAAGTTTTTTTTATGTGTTTATATTCAATTAGACTTTTTTTTTAATGTATGTGGATTGATGTAAAATGTATGGTTATGTGTTATTTTAATGTAATTAGATTGATCTATAACTTGTTTTCATATGTATTTTATTATTCGAACTTGTGGATATTAAATTCTTGATTTGTGTATGTATGTATGTATAAGAATACACGAAAAAAAAATATGAAAATCATTGAAACTGGTTTATTTAGCGATCGAACCAGTTAAATCGAAAACCGATCACCATACCGGTTCAACTATAAAACTGGTTTTTAAAACATTGCATTTGAGAAATTGAATGAGAATGTGAAAAGTGATAAAAAAAAAAAAAAAAAAAAAAAAAAAAAAAAGAAGAAGAAGAAGATTTTATGTATATATTTAAACTTAAAATAATAATTAAAAAAACATTGAAAAGAAACGAGTAATCTTTTTTCTAGTGGAGAACTTTTGTAATTATCGTCGAAATGAAAGTACTTGATATGAAATTCATGGAATACAAAGTACAAAGTAGAAAGTACAAACCAAACAGGGAAACACCGTCGATTGAAGTTTCTATACAGCCAATCTCGAACCAGGAATCACCTCCGTTTTCATGGCATCAATGTACACAGCTTTCTAATTACAGCAGCACCCTCATAAATCGATAAACCCATAAACAGATTTGACTCAAAAAGGTGCCTTTCGATCGAAATTGATCAAATTTTGGCCACACAACATCTAGGTAATGCGCGTCATCATTCTCACCAATTTTACATTTTTTATCCAATTGGGGTGTTCATTAAGCGTATTCCACTTGATTCTTTAATACTTGATAATTTTTTGTCTCCACTCATTTTCATTGATATATGAAGATCCGATAAGGGTATGGATAATTGATTTTTGTTGGGGTTTTGCTCGATAATCTGTACAATCGACTGGTGGTGACTTTAGATTAATTTAAAGTTTCAAACTTTCAATGTTACAGTCGATTTCATGTTTCTGAACACAAATCATATGATAACGATTTGATACTAAATAGGGCACAAAAGGGAAACCAGCTGTAGGGCTCAAAAGGAGCCAATAATTCGGCAAAATAAAGTGTTTATTTTTATGAGGTGTTTTGGAAGATTGCAACTTGTGTGTAGTTAGATACGTAATCTGTTCACTTCTTGAACTTCTGATTATTGACATGGGTGCTTTTTCGTTTCTGAATCTATACACTCCATAGTCGTCCTTCAAAGCCAAATTTGAGTTTTTTAAATCAATGTGAGTGCTTTGTATCTTTGAAATTGATAAGAAATTGCTTCCTTTTTGTCAGAATTTGTTATATAGCGAAGATGGAAGAGGAGATGATTACACTACAAAACATAATGCCAGTAGATCTTGCAATCAAAAGAGAGTTAGAATATCGTAAAAAGATGGAAATATCAAGAAACCAACATGAAAACAACTTAAAACCACTTGTAGTCTCACAGGTAACCTCACTAATCACAATCATGTTCTTGTTCTAGACTTCACACTACCAAATTTTAGAGTCATAATGGAATAAGTTGTAGGGCCCACCGATTCAATCCTGGAAAGAAGATTACAAAATGGCAGCAAGCGGGTCCCATAAGTCTCGGATGTTTCAGTTTTCTTCAACCCGTCAAACCTTGCGAGAAAAACGCGTGTTTTCTTGCAAGGCTTGTCAGTTGACTTTTGGTACTGTTTTTGACCTTAGTGGTCATGTTGTAAGTCAACAACATAAATTCAATGTATCTGAGATGAAGAAGAGGAAACAAGCCATAAGCAATCCGATTTGGTGCGAATTATGTAAATCATCGTGTTCAAGTTTGGGGGAAATGGAACGTCATCTTAACGGGTCACGCCATTTGATGAGGATTTGAAATTATATAAAATAATAATAATAATAATAATTTGTTATTCGGTAGTTGTAGAGTTTGATTTTGATCTGATAAAACATGTTGTAGTTTGTAGGGTTTGAAATTTTGTTATGGAAGTTATTTGTATTAGATTCAAAATTGTTGAAATTTTCATTCAGGTGCGGGGTTTGGAAGGTCAAAGGATGGTTGACCGAAAGCGAAAGGTACAACCCTCCAATGCACGGTTTATTTGTGTGGTTTGTGATATGGCGTTTGCTAGTGTGTTTCATTTGAAGATGCATGGTGAAACTTTTGCTCATAGAAGTAATCTTTGTATGGCGAGAAATGGGGGTGAAAATGTGAGTAATCCGTTTTTATGTGAGGTTTGTGATATTTTGTGTTCAAGTGGGAAAGTAATGAAGCTTCATGCTGCTGGGGTAAAACATAAGGGTTATCTTCAAGAGTTTGAGGATGCAAGAAGGGCAAGATTTTATGGTAATTTTGGTTCATATCAGTAACATTACGACTATGTTTTTTTTTTTTTTGCTCTAAAAACTTGTATGAATGAACTCTTGAATTTCTGCTGTTTTTTTTTTTTTTTTGAATCCGGAGTACTCCACAACATGAAATAATGACTTGTGTTTTTTTTGCAATAGAAGTTGTGTCCTGCAATGACTTACATGACACACCACAAGTTTAAGTAAACACTAAAGCTTTTTGTTACCAGCTACCAGTTATCAACATATACGTTCTATGTTAATGCCCTATGTTAAATGTGACCTTGACTTTTTTTATAAGTAAAATTTTAGTAGTAGATAAATAGAAACAAAGAGAACCAAAACTAAACCAATAAAATTAAACATGAAATGGTTTGGGTTCTTTAACCAACAAATTCAGACCGACGAGATCAGAAAACATTGTGAATCTTGTAATTCGATGAACAAAGTTTGATATGATTTTGATTTTAGGTTTCATCTATGAGTTCGTTGGTTTCTTGTTGTGATGGGTCATGACTAGTTCATTGAACCCCTAAATTCAACCCCAAAATACAGAAGAAAAATCGTAAACATGAATGAACCTAAATTGTTCAAGATGACAAAACTTCAAATTCAATGAGAAAATGTCCTTAATTGGTCCATTTTTGAAAATACATCAAAAAAAAAAAAACGTTTTTCGTTTGTGGTTTGTAGTGATCTTGTAAGTAATAGATTGTTTCATGAGGTTAAACCCCATATAAATTGAGTTAATCTAAACCCTAAAAGTTTGGGCCTAAACCCTAATCAGTGATGGATCATATTTGATGCAATGAATGGTAAGTTTTTATAAAAGTTGAAACATGTATGTATGAAGTAATGAAGATGATGTAATCAACTGATAATTAAGGAGGGTACAACTTAATCTACATAAGGTACAACTACTACTCTTCTCATAGTCATTCTACTCCGACCTTCTTTTTCAACATTGCAATGAACTCGTCCCTTTCTTGTGGTGACATTCCTTCAGCCGAACAATCACCAATCCCCCATTCCGCTCCTCTTAAGCAATACTTGTCTTGAGTCGCTTGTCGATTCCTGACAAATCATATCCATTATCCCCACAAATTAATCACCACTCATTAATAACATCGATCTACAATCGCATATTCAATCAGATTATATAAACAATACTTACTTTTCTTTGTTCACCTTGGATCGCTCAAGCAATTCTTTAAGCAATGGAGTCTCCTTGAATCTCGCATCATTTTCTGCATACTTTTTTTGATTCTCTTCTGCAGAAAATGGAATCCAGATTCTTAGATAAGCTTAGCATGTAATGTAATCAAGTGAATCGGAATAGCAGCACACAGTACCATTGAAACGAGCGAATGAATCAAACTTCGGTAGTTCGGGACCAGGCATCGATTCCAATCCTGAGAAGCCCGAAAGCAATCCGGCGTGCGCTATAGCCATGATCATGAAAACAATTACCTTATGCATAAAAAGTAATACATATACCCTAGTGAACATAAGCAGATGTGTATTTACCAGGGAGTGGAGAGAGAAGAAGAGTCATTGAAGCAGCTAAAGGAAGGAGTGACTTGTCAAACCAGCTTCTTCTCTGGAATATCAATGCCGGAGGTGGCGAACATTGTGAAAGATGGTTAAATGGTTGCCTGCCGACGGTTGTGGTGGTGGTGGACGGTGGTGTTGAAAAGGTGGTGTGCCATGGAGGTCCAAATGAAGAAGAAGAAACCATGGCTGCTGTGAGTTAGGCTTCTTCTTCTCTTCTCTTTGTGAAGAGGGAGTATAGCGGATATATAGATAACGAGGCAGTGGAAACCGTTGGATGTAATTATTTGGTCATGTGGCATGATCTCATTGGCTGATGATGTTAAATAGCAAAAAAGTAGCAATAGAAAAAAAAAATATCTGGAAAAACCCGGGGCCTTATACCGCACCGAGTCTGCAAGATTTATACGGGAGTACCACTGGTACAATAAAAAACACAATTTCCTCCTTTAAGGCACCGTAAAAATGTATGGCGTAACCGGGTTACCGAACCCGTCCTACCCATAAAACTTATATATTTATTAGCTGTAACTTGTGAATATATACTTATACCAAAGTTTGTGGATAGAGAGCGATAGATTACCGTGCGTTTGGGATGGAAAGGTTGGAAGTGAGAGGAGAGATGATTACTCATATGGCACCTACGTGTCATATGGGTTGGAAAGGTGGGAGTAACGCTGTAAATGATCGAACGTTCAACAAACCGTTCATGAATAGTTCAACGGAAAATTCGTTTATTTTGTTTATGTTGAAAATATGCTTTAAGGAATCCACTAATGAGCAATAAAAGTAGTTATGGTTTTGTCGGTTTTTATTTTTGAATTGAATAAGTTTAATTAGGAGTTAGTGGATAGTTATTCTCTAGTTAATTTTCAGTTATGAATAACAGTTATATAAGCTGATGTAGTACAATGATTTTGATATTCTAATTTCCAATTCCAATCATTGCATAGCATATCTCCCATGTTCACTTTTCTCCTGTTTACAACCTATTGTCTTCTTTTCTATTTGTTTAAAACTAACAAATTGGTATCAGAGCTCATTTCTTGAGGGATCTGTGAGGACAAATGACAGAAAGTAGTGTTTCACAATTCACTATTCCTGTGTTCAATGATGATAATTACTAGTTATGGGCTGCAAGAATAACATCTTATCTTGAAGCCATGGATCTTTGGGAAGCTGTAGAGGTGGAGTATGTTGTTCCTCAACTTCCAAAAAATCCTACCATGGCTCAAATCAAAGTTCACAAAGAGAAGACATCAAGGAAGTCAAAGGCGAAAGCAACTCTGTTTGCTGCAGTCTCTACAACCATTTTCACAAGAATTATGTGCCTGAAAAATAGAAAAGAAGTGTGGGATTATCTGAAGGAGGAATATGAAGGAGATAAAAGAATTCGAGGCATGCAGGCTCTCAACTTGATAAGAGAATTTGAGATGCAAAGAATGAAAGAATCGGAGACTATCAAGGAGTATTCGGACAGATTACTGGATATTGGAAACAACGTACGGTTGCTTGGATCTAAGTTTTCAGATTCAAGAATCGTTGAAAAAATTCTCGTTACTGTACCTGAGAGATATGAAGCTTCAATAACCACTTTGGAGAATACAAGGGACCTGACAGAAATTACTTTGGGAGAATTGTTAAACTTGTTACAGGCACAAGAGCAATGTATGCTTATGAGACATGAGCATGTTGTTGAAGGTGCTCTACCGGCCAAGCAAACGAGATGAACGAAAGAAAAAGAAGAAGAGTGACAAAAAAGCCTCATCAACTTTTGTTGTTGAAGATTCTGTCAACAATCAGAATCAAACCAAAGTTCAAACTCCAAAAAAGAATTATCCGCCTTGTAAGCATTGTGGTAAAATGGGTCATCCTCCATACAGATGTTGGAAAAGACCAGATGCAAAGTGCAACAAATGTAATCAGGTCGGTCACGAAGCTATTATATGTAGAAGCAATACTCAAAAGCATGAAGAAGTCCATAAAGCTACTCAAGATGAAGAAGACCATATGTTTGTTGCATCTTGTTATCCAACAACAGTTTCTCCTGAAAGTTGGCTAATTGACAACGGGTGTACAAACCAAATGTGTAATGACATCAGCCTCTTTAGAGGGGTGTTGCCTTCGAAGTCCAAGAGAGTGAAAGTAGGTAATGGTGAATACGTTCCAGTCAAAGGAATTGGAACAGTTGCAATTATAACTACTTCAGTTACAAAAACAATCTCAGATGTCATGTATATACCATAAATTGATCGGAATTTAATAAGTGTTCCCCAGCTGCTAGAAAAAGAATTTAATAACTATTCGACGAGGATTGATTGCTTGTGAGTAGTTGGAAGCATGATATTGAATGAACCATATTGACATTATGATGAATAGAAAAGATTCTATTAAGAAATGAGTTGTCATATGGAACATATAGAAGCGTGTCCATACTGGGAAGTAAATATTGAAAATTTATGACTAGATTAGAAACCTTTATGCAAAAGGATGTTCAAAGGAATGTACTTTGAGTGAGAGACATCATGTCTAAGTAATTGTCTTGTAACAATCTCCGATAGAGGACTTTGTAATATCATTGGCAATAGTCTTTGTAACTTTGGTGCAGTGACATTACGAAAGGATCATAATCTAGCATATTCTATAAGTAGCAAGAATTTGATATTCTTTCACTTATGCAAAAGGATTTGGAGTTGTGAAATGAGAATGATTGGAAATTATCTATTCCATAAAAGTAAGAACCATAGGTAAACATTGTGTGCATGCTAGGAGCATGGGACAAGTGTAATAATTCAAGTAAGAAGTTGATTACCCGAAACGACAAATAATGAGTAATCGATATGGTGATAAATAAAACGTGTTTTATTTATGCTCAAAGGGTTGAGGCCATATGGGATTAGTATTATTCTTGTGTTTCACTTTGCATGTTTTAACTTCCAGAATAATTGAGTTTATTAAGAATAATCGAATTATTCAAACGGGCCACAGTCGTTCATATGTTGGAAGTAGATATGAATGAAGACTGTCGTGAATTGGTGTGTGGATTGTCTAGAAGAGTATTAGACATAAGCAAACATTTGTTGCAACGTTCATGAGTGCTTATGATTATGGATTTGAGCATTGGATTAAACCCACGCTCACTGGGATCACTCCATGAATTGTATCACGAGTGATTGGTGAGACGATAACATCTTATATTCTTGAAACCGAGATGTGTGAGTTGTATCTTGCTAATCGGTTGCACATTGATAATATGTAAACGCACTAGTAACTTGGTGTTATAAAACATATTGTTGTGTGTGATTTGGTTAGTGAGTGTAAGCAAGCATTGTATCAAAGTTTATCCGTTCCTTTTATCTAAAGAAGAATAAAAGCGATATCTTTGGGCCCCTCGATGGTTTAGTGATGACAAACGTAAATGCTCGGCCGGGCTAGGGCTAATTTGATTTGTTCAATTAGTCAGTCGTTATAAATCGGGAATCGAGAAATAGTACAAAGAGAATGATTTGAAATCATATCTCATACGATATCTAGAATGGAGGAATATATGATCCCTTATCTAAGGACACGCGTATCTGATGTGATTAGAGTTGACAACGGCTTTGGAAAGCTACGATTGCAGATCAGGATCTGAAGTCATACGCATAATAGTTATTAGACTTATCCAAGTGGGAGATTGTTGGATTAGTGTCTAAGTCCATAACTATTTTGGTATGTACTTGACCCGATGGTGCATGGTCCTTTTGGGTTGCCTTCACCAAAGCAACTTGCCAGGATGAATTATGGAGAGAAATGACTAAATATGATTTATTAATATATTATGGGAATAATATATTAAAGGAGAAATCATATTGTTTAATTAATATTAGTCAATAATTAATTGGTAATTAGTTTTGTGACTAAAAGAGATTAATTAAACTTAAGGGACTGGAATTGTAATTATAAGATAATTATAATTTGGGCCATGGATTGCCTTATATCAAGGGTTGGACGAATTCTATGGGGAAGCCCATAAGGAAATCGTCCAAGGGCTTGATTAAAAGGAGTCTATGGGTTTCTTAGGGCTTAAGCATCCAATTTAGGGTTTCCTTGTCAGATAACCCTAATAGCCCAACTATATAAAGGCCCCTTAAGGCTCAAAAACGTGGCTAAGCTTCTTGTTAGGGTTTACACACGTTTTTGGCAGCCTCCAACCTCTCTCCTCTTCATCCTCTTGCTTATGGTGTTTGTGAACCATTAAAGGAGTGACACTTGTGACTCTAAGCCTTCCAAAGTCAATACAAGGAGATTTGGGATTGTTATTGCTACATAACAATCAAGGTAACATTATAAACTCATTCTTATGTTAATATGATTACTTGCATGCTAGAATAGGGTTTATAGTCTTGGATTCAAAGCATGTACAATAGAGAAACCTAGATCCAAGCTTTAGGGTTTGTATGAGCACATACGATGTCGTACGACCAAAACCCATCAGTGACAACTGTTAATTTCCGGTCAAGACAAAGTCAACCGAAGTCAACAAGTCAAACCGTTTGACTCAATTTGCCCGTGGGTACTAGAATTTACATTATGAAACTTCTACATAACTCTCTATTCTAATGAGAAATCATAAAGCAAAAAGTCCGAACATCTAGATATCCTTAACCTTAAACTGTGGTACGTGGCGAGCCCAAACCGATAAAACAATGATGCATACTCATCGGGGGTGTGTAAGACCCTCAAACAAGGCTTAACAGGGTTTACGAACCTTGCATTGCGAAGTCGGACACTCACAAATGTCACAAATGAAACCTCTCTCAATCATTTGCACTCTATCTCTTCTTATCAAGAATCTCTCCCAAATCTCTCCAAGTATGTGAAATCTCCCGCAAATATCTCTTTGTATGAGAAATCTCTCCAAAAATGTGAAATCTCTCCCAAATCTCTCCAAGTATGTGAAATCTCTCTCAAATATCTCTTTGTATGAGAAATCTCTCCAAGAATGTCAAATCTCTCCCAAATCTCTCCAAGAATGTCAAATCTCTCCCAAATCTCTCCAAGTATGAGGAATCTCTCTCAAATATATCCTTGTATGAGGAATCTCTCCAAGAATGTCAAATCCCTCCCAAATCTCTCCAAGTATGTGAAATCTCTCTCAAATATCTCTTTGTATGAGCAATCTCTCCAAGAATGTCAAATCTCTCCCAAATCTCTCCAAGTATGTGAAATCTCTCTCAAATATCTCTTTGAATGAGGAATCTCTCCAAGAATGTCAAATCTCTCCCAAATCTCTCCAAGTGTGTGAAATCTCTCTCAAAAGTTCCCGTAACTTTTTTGGAATCATTCAGGTCATTCCGACCCTTAATCGGGTCAAAAACGGCTCAAAACGGAGTGAAAACGAGTAAAATAGGCTTTAGGAACCGAAACCCTTCTTAGTAAGAGAAGCCTCTCGGA